TGTAGGTGTGACTCTTGAAGATGTAGTCGAGTCCTGAGTTTGCAATTTTTTCTAAACATATTAAACACGTATGAATGACGCCTACTCATTGTCCATTGTCAGTCAATTATAATTTACCTTCTTACCATTTTCAAATGCACACAGACCTATGTGAGTTTATACTGAAAACAATGTGCGAAATGAGGTTCCAGGCCTCATTGACCAACACAAGGACTTCGGTATATGGAGCTATTTTAGGCATCACATGCAACGATAAAGACCACAGACTTTTCCAGTGACTGGTTATCATCATCTTCTGTGTTTATTGTGGAAGGCGGACACCGATTAACTTGCATCACTTTAGTCGTAAACTACAATGAAGCTAATGTGACGTGTTCAACGTGTTACTAAGCATGAAAGATGCTACCTGTGTTTTTAACCAGCTTTCATCACACAATCAGTTCTGTGTTCACCATAGCTAGCGAAGTCATTCCTTATTTATAAGACTGTATTCATTCGAATTTCAGGCCTGTGTTGTATTGACATATTGAGTATTTCATTGGTCATGTCGCTGATGTGGCATTTATATACTGACAAGCTTATTTTTCATGGCTGGCATTTGTTGTGGGTAAATCAGAAGCCGTGTGCTATTTCTGAACTGCACTAGCCAAGACGATTAGATTCACCTTCCAATCCATTCATGCATTCAAAAGTCGAGTTGTTATGCTAGCCGTTAAGTGTTTCGATGGAGAAACACTTCACTATTACTGTATATTTATTTCTGTCTTTGTGCGTACACACAAACTGTACAGGTATGAATGATTTATTGTTTCAGTTACATAAATTTGGTTTATGGTGAATTGACACGGTTGCTGTACTTTTCAACTGCAGTATATAAAGTTACCATTTGCATGAAATGATAAGTTTGCAGGTTTGAGACCAGAAACATTTGCAAGGAAGAAATGCTGAAAGCTGTTGTTGTTTCCGTCATTCTCCGCATTGTAAGATAGGGTGCGGGTGAGAGAAACAGAATGATGTTTACGCATCATGAATTATTGAACGTGTAGGTGAGTTAATGGCGAGCTCGGTAACAGGACAAATATTGGAATGAAATCCAAGTTCATGAAATGATTTCATCACAGTATATTATAAGAAACGGTTAACGAGGTGTGTTAATTAGTGGTTACTTGGTGACACAGTTAAAATTTGCTGCTACAAACTATTAATATAATCCACAGAAGCGTTCACTGGTGGAGTCCTTTCTACCATTGGAAGCTGTACACTGGCTGCAGAATTCTCTTCGGATGGGGATGAGCGGTTTCTGCTAAATACAATGGATACAACACGGTTAGTAAGGAAGCAAGTAGACAGTATGGACCAGTGAGAAGACGAAGCGAAAATCAACACGCTGTATCTTATTTTCGCACTCCAAAGTCTGCGTCGGTGTGAGTGTTATGATGAGCAATTTGCTGAATGAAAGAGTGCAGTGCTAAGTGAATGATGACTGCAGACACAAGTGAACAAGACAAGATATATGTATATATATTTAAATTCGTAGTCAGGTGATTGTTGAATGCTTTTCAAATTGGTCAGGTGGTACTCTCAGAGAGATTCAGAGCACTGAGAATGCTTAGAAGTCATCATGGGAATTAACTCGTATCTTGGTCATCCTGGTGAATTGGCGTATTTGTTTTCAGCGTAGTTGTTTCTCTGATTCTGTATGGATTGTGCACAGTTAGGCTTTCATTCTAATTAATATTTACGGAACAAGATATATCTAAGTCAGTCAGGCAGTCAATCATACAGCGAGTCAGTCGGTGCACAGAGTGAGAACTTGTGAGCAGGAAAATGAATGACAAAATCGGTCAATTGATGTATATCAGTTCAGACTAAAGAAATCATTTCTGCTAATCAAGCTTGTATCATGACCATTCCACCACAGAGGAGTTTTCTGTGTGATATAATCCAACAATGATACAGTATTAATCACTGTGTGCTTGTGTCGCCAAATGAATTTTGTTCTATGATGGAATCATACTGTGCGCATACTGTGTATGCATATGCTCTGTGAGCTTAAACTACGAAAGCTTAATCGCGCTGGAACACTATCGATTAATGTGAATGATTACTAATAAAAACTTTACTGAAGCACAAGTGTCAAGGAGTAATGTGTGCAAACATTGCTGGATATATAATTGTTAAGTTTGACAAAGAATTTATTCAGAAACAGTCAACCAGTCTTGTTATTCCTCTTGTCTACCTCTGCGAACATTGACTTCAGTTGTACTGCTTTCTCTGTATTGAATTATAATGACCAAACTTTACCTTAATTTCACAATTTATTATTATCAAGCCAAACATCCTGATGAGACAATAGTTCCTATATCCAACCCTCTTCCCCTACAAATATATGCGCTCAAAATAACTGACTGACTACACTGTTATTACTGCAGATTATCAATATGTCATCATGTTATCAATGGTGTGATCACCTCGGTTATTATGCACTAGTTCAGAGACTTCATGAGGAATACACTAGATTGTTTGTCTGTCATAATTTGACTCTACTACTCATTCATGATGTGTATCAATTCACTCTGTTTTTCGATCTTGTATCTTGTCTCCAGTCAATCCTTATTTCCAAGTAAAATTTGCACTATACCGCCCTCACTTGTCTAATTTTACTGTAAATAGTCAGTCTTTTAACACTGAACAATTTGTCTGCTCACATCGTTCTTAGAATTATTTTGTCTAAACTTTCTGTCTATAAATCCAAGTCACCATGAAAAGTGTGTTCAAGCATTTTGTAAATTGTGATCTGATTTAGTTGAGTATGTTCGCAGTTGAAGGGAATCCACGAAGCTAATCGAAGTCATATTCGCCTGCAAATGTGTTCGTTGTTCTTCTGTTGAAACGAATAATGAGAAATGGTTGTAAGATAGGACTGAGTTATGATGCGAGTAAAAGTACAGTAACAGGGTAATTTTTCAATCGCATCATTTCTAAAATGACTATGACATTTTACACACACGACCATTATCGAAGATTGTAGGGAGAAGTCAAAGTGATGTCAAAATATCATTATTATTAATTTATTATTACTTTTATAGTTATCATTACTACTATTATGACTACAACTAAGACTACTTATCAGTACTAAAGTCTAATCAAGTGAAAGAGAAAAGAAGAAGCACGTTGTCTCCAAATGTCTCCTGAGGACAGTTGAATACATATGTTCATCTGACACGAATTAGTCTAGTGAATGTCCTGTCATGTCGTGGTATGCATCCTTCAAGAACAGAAGAAAGAATGAGAAAGTGATGAATGAATGAGTAGTTTCAATGGAATCGAGGACGATACTGAAGGAATGAAAGACGTTTCATAAAGTGAATCAACCACTAATTTTCGACATTTTCAGTCTCAATTGTCTGAATTACTCAAATTGATTGTGCTCCTGTTGATATGCTGGATCATGCTGGATCTTGATTCATTCAAACGTGAGCAAGACGTGTAACAAGCGACTAAGTTAAATGCATCAACTGCCACAACAATCGGTCAGAAAGAAGCCGAAGCTTCCCATCTAACTATAATACTGATTTATGAAATTTTCACTACACAATGTGAAGTTATGCATGAGAAGTGAATATCTCATCTACTTGTCTCTAAACATCAACACGACATTATTGAATACGACATGAGATATGGCGATGGAGGATAAACACGGTAAGTAGACTGATTTTCGTCATACGGATTGTGTGGACTGATTCTGGTACATAAACTCACCCTCATGTTTGTCTTAACATTTTCATAAATTGATCTGGTTTCTATAAAGGGAAGATACAGTTTATCGTCAAAATATGTCTACTTAATATGTAAACTTGAACAGGCGCATGTGAGGAAACAGATAAAATGTTGCAAGTCTATCGTTTCTAATCATCGAGACAAGTATCCACAAAGTACGCAAAATATCTGAGTGTGAGATGCTATCTCACCTGTGACTCAACGTTTACGAAAGACTGGACTGTTGAAGGCGCCTCGCGAAATATTCAACTCGAAATTTTTCAACTTACCATAAGCTATCACCCACAGGTGTTTCAAATAACTGACGTGTATCACCCGTTGAGTCAATTCACTTATTCCTGGAAAGGAAGACAAAGTGCGAACACATATCATGGATAGGCATGATGATTTGTGGACAGATGAGGACGAAAAGAGGCATTGTTCATTCCGAAGACGACAATATTGAGTGGAGCAATGTTCAGTTTTCAAATAAACCTTCTCAGAAACCTGATTATATGAATATATGTATATATGTGTCAATCACAGCATTGTCAGTAGGCGGCGGACGTTTGTTAATATCTGGTGTCCCCACCTACATACTGAAGATCAATCTAATGACCAGAGAAATAAGGAACAGCAAATTCTTGGAATCAACCTCCCACGACCGTTGTGATCAAGAATTATGCTGGAGAAAATGTAGATGCTTCTAACTAAAGCTTAGGGGGCCATTGGTTGACATCCGTTGAACGCCTTCCAACTAACCGTTCAAGCTTCATTCTTCACATCTAATCTTTCCGTCGTGAATACTTATCGTCTTTATCCATTTCATACTATCTTTGTATTCACTGTCAACTCACCACATTTGTCACAGAAATACCACTTATTTCGTCAGCCTATAACTAATCTGTTATTCTAGGTGAAAACTGTATCCGTCACATAACCTGCTGTTATTGTTACCGTATAACTACAACAGCCTGAAAGAAATGCTTTGAAAAGAACATTCCTTGTTACAACCATCTGCTAACACAAGAATGAGTTATTTAAATGATGAAATTTTCATATGAAATAATAAAAATGGTTACCTTTTCTGTTTAACTAATTATACCTTGTTTGCAGAAAATTGTTTACATTCCATAATAAAGTTCAATTTATTTACAGTAGTGATAATCACGCCATGACTACGTGGACATCAGTAATTAAAGGTATTTGGAAATGGTCCAATATCTTCGTGTCTTTCATTTGTTGATCTGAATCTCTAGAATAATTTTTCATATAAATACATCAGATTTCACGCAATTACACATAATCATGGCTTTCTCTTTCCTATCCTTAGAAATCACTGCGTTCCTCCTTCTCCTGCGTTTATCTCTACTGACAGGTAAGCACTACTTAATTTCTCTCTGTACATATTGCATCAATATTTTGAAACTACTTTTAAATTGGATAACTCAATTCTGACAACTGCTTTAAGTGTATTTGATAATCAGGATTTGTGTAAATATATAGGAACGACTCCATTCGATCAGATCTATTAGACGTCGATAGGAGTATCATTTTCTGATGAACTTGAGGTACGATATGACAATTCAATCTAGTCATTTATCTGATACAAACCGACAACACGAACTGGCACACATTGCATACATTTCTCTTGCACAAATTGTGTACAGTGGTGATTCTAGTTTCATGACTACAAACTCATCTTGAGTTGCATCAATTTAAAACACGTACTCAGTGCCGATTGAGTGCGCAAGATAAACATTTACGTGGTCTCCATACAAAATAACAGATGGATGATTCTCCCTCCATGTCTGTCAAGTGACATTTGTGAATAAATATGCCTAAATGAGCATATGAATAATTATTTTATTTTATTTATTTAATTATTTCTCCTTTTCTGAAGCTGTTCAACCAAGTCGGCATTACGGTGAGTCATTGCACATTGACACAGTAATTTAGGCAATCATGTTGCCATTAGTCTGCTATAATCCAATTGTTTCTGACTTGTAAATTCTTTTCAAATGTGAAGTTGCTTGTCGAATATCCAGTCAACTCAGGAATCAATATTCGGGAATTCTACAATGTCAAACATTCAAATATTACTCTCCACAATTAGCAGTTTGTCAGCTAATTTAAGACTGTTATTGGATAGTCTAGTGGTGAGACACCATGCAAAACCTCACCTAATCAAGCAGGATAATAGCGTTGAACTTTGAGAATCTGCACACTGTGGATATGTAGATATCGACTTAATCATTTCCGATTTTTTACAAGTGAGAAGCTAAATTCTCAATGTATTCACACTAGGGAGGTGATTGTGGTGCGAAGCTTGTCAGTTTCTGTCTGTAACAGTTAACCCCTGAATGAAGTTTGAGACTCAGGATTCTTGAGTAGGACGACATTTACTGCTGTTGGAGTGAGTGAGGGGATGCTTCAAGCGGTATGGTTCCGTATTCTCGAGTGGGATATTGTCTTCAATACGCTGCTCATTGAATATGCCAACTGGTTTTATTTATTCAAATAAAATGGAAAATATCCTGGCACACATATTCTCCATATCACTCACTCATTCTTGAAACTGAACAAGTTATAGCATTCAATCAAGCTTAATCGAATGAATTGACACTCAGGTTCCTTGTTTCGAAGATGCGAATCAACTTCTTCAATGGGCGCGATACTTAAATCATTTCATCTTGCATTATGAAAGTAAGCCAATTCTTTTCAATGTACTTCAGTATTCCATACATTTGTTGAACATTTGATGAAATAATGAAGTCCTTGTTCATTGAATACATTTTCATTTGTGGAATGATTTATCGTATTCTCTCCGAATTCGCAATTATCTGCGTTTGAGGTGGTTGATGGAAGCATACGCAGCGTGTAACACTGGAATCCCCTGTGAATGTAGACAGATTCAGTGTGACTGATGAACAGATTTGACATTTGCCATCATTCCTATAGACATAATCAATTCATTTGTGGAACATTTGCGATTGTTTTACAGGGCAGATTATAGACTGGGGTAATAAGAAAGCCATTGCGGAAGAAATAGCGAAAGAATTGGAAGGTGCGTTTAAAAGCCTTCTTTTACTAACCATGTGCATTTTGTACGTCATTTCTTAATTTCTTGTGTCACTGATGCTTCGACTCAATAGTATGCGTGTGGTACTTAAACTCTGTGCTGGTGGTGGTAGTATATAGTTGAAAATTAACGTGATTGTTAGACACACCACAGAGTGAAACAGGTTTATTCACTGGATGATGTTTCGAGGGTGATTCAATATTCACAATGGTTTCACTTGCAACTACAAGATTACTAAGCTCCACAATCAACTTCCTCTTTCTTCTCTATATTAATCTTTCAACAAACCTGCAGTGTTCACAGACTCTAGTTATCCTCTCTACTAAGAATGGGAGTGGCGAGATGTAGATTTACAACCCGTAATTCGATGACAGTCACAATATAACTAAGACCAGTTTCGCAGTGTTTCCTACAAAACTTTTGTTTTTTGCAGCGAATGTGCGGCTTTGCATTATTAGTCGCTGGAGGATGTAAAACACTTTGTACATGAACATGCAGTAAATAATTATCGAATGCTGTTCAAATGTGTGTAAACACCAACATCTAGTGATCAGTGGAGACAGAGAACTGGTGATGCCATACTTCCGTCAGTTTATTCATCAGCTTTTATGTCAATAGTTGAGAAGTGACCAATGTGGACAACACAGTCTCCAATGTCTTGCAACAAACTGTTTGTCTCTTCTCCATTGCAGATAACTTGGAAATAAGGGCCTTAATAACAGGCAAAAGTATCACTAAGTGTAAGTCATTAAATCTAATCAATATAGAGAAATAATCATTCTTTTAGTTGTGGATTGTCTATACAATACTTCTGAAAACTACTACCAACCGGAAATTTACAGAAGTACGTTACATGTTTGTTGTTCATCTTCAACCTGAAAACAAAGTGATGAGACTATCGAAACGTCTCGTTGAATAGACTTCGAATTACCACGGTCGGTTGGTCAGTACGTTTTCGACATAGAACTTTGCACATATGTGCAGCAGTTCAAGTCGCCACACTCCCTCCATGTAGCACACAAAGCAAGAGAAGAAAGTATAAGAAATGCATAATATAGACAGTAAACAGAGGTGTGAGACAAAGGAATAGTAATAACGGAAATCATAAGTCACAAGGAGTGGATGCATCTGCGCCACTGAGAACGATTTTGAGCCATGTCACCAATTGTTTCCAACCATTGATTTTTACCGTCCCGAGGACCCCAACCAGGAAGTCTACATCTTCCTACGTGGCTTAGACTAACTGTTGTGGATTTCATTGACTGGTGCCATGTTTTGGTTTGACCGCCGCTAGCTCTTTTCCGGCCTGGCCCTATATAAGCTTAAATTGCCTGTCGAGGAAGGCGATGACTAGGTATACGTAGCACATGTCCTAACCATCTCAGTCGATGTAATTTCACAGTCTCGTCGACTGATTTCCCCACCTTACCTAGCACTCGACGCCTAACCTCAATATTGCTCACCTTATTATGCCACTTCACACGGGAGATAGAACGCAGACACCTGTGATCGAACACAGATAGTCTTTTCATGTCTTCTGCTCTCAATGGTCAGGTCTCGCAGCCATAAAGGAGGACGGAGCGGACTGTTGAGCAGTACACACGCCCTTTGGTCGATAGTCGGATATCGCGTCTACGCCAGAGACGGCGTAAACTGGCATATGCGAACCTAGCCCTCTGTATTCGTGCTGAGATTTCGTCGGAGATCAACCCGTTGGGGCTGATGGTACTTCCCAAGTAAGTGAAGCGGTCAACGTGCTCTACCACTTCACTTCCTATTTCTAATCTAGGGGTCGGTGAAGTCCAATCCTGCAGCATCATCTTACATTTTACAGGGGCGAATCGCATGCCAAACATAAGATCGTTGCTCAAAGTGTTCAGTAAACTCTGCATTCTGTCAGCGTCCTCGCCTAGAAGGACTATATCGTCCGTATATTCTAAGTCGACGAGACTATTCCCTGGTAGCAAGTCAATTCATGAGTCGCTGAAGTGTGTTAGGGTTATGTCCATTATTACGTCTATGATGAAGTTGAATAGGAATGGGGATAATAGGCATCCTTGAGGGACGCCACTAGTCGTCACCATTTCAGATGACAACTCGCCATAAGCCCTCACCTGCCTGCATGAGTACGAGTAGAGTGCCTTAATCAGTGCAATGTATTTTCTTGGCATTCCCTTTATAGCCAAGCATCGCCAGAGAACCTCCCGGTCGACAGAATCGAATGCCGCCTTTAGGTCAAGAAATATAATGATTGTCGGACGCCGGTAGGAATGCCTATGTTCTAGAATCTGTCGAAGGGTGAAGATATGATCGATACACCCTCTACCTGGCCTAAAACCTGCCTGGTTTTCTCGTGTTTGTGTCTCCCGAGCACCACTTAGTCTACGCAGTATTATTGAGCCTAGGATTTTAGATACTATATTAGTCAAGCTAATCCCTCTGTGATTATCACAAGAAGACTTGTCTCCCTTCTTGTATATCGAGATAATCAATGACTTACACCAACCCGATGGGACTTCCTCTGATTCCCAGACGCTGCCTAGAACCTCAGTTAACGCAGACAGTAAACTATCTCCACCGTACTTAAATACCTCTGGAGTCAATCCATCAGGTCCCGCTGCTTTGCCTTGCTTCAGATTAGTGACAGCTTTAGTAACCTCAGTTAAGGACGGAGGACCTGTGTCTGTATCCCATTCAGGGAGGTGTTGGATGTCCGGCAGGTTAAGTGTGGCTGTGGGCCAATTAGACTGCTCCTCATAGTGTTCTTTCCAGCGCCCCAGACGTCTATCCTGGGAGCTAATTATGGTGCCATTTTTCTCCGAGATTGTTTCGCTTATCATTTGCCTTTTGCCACCTGTTTCCCTGATAAGTCTGAATAGTTGTCTGGTGTTGCCAATCGCCGATGCCTTTTCCATCTCTTTCGCTTTTGTCGCCCACCACTGTTCACGGTCCTTGCGAAGACTTTTTGTTAGTCTTCGTTTAAGTACCTTTCGCTCTTCGTCATAATCGGAGCTCGTTAGAATCAGTCTTCTTGCGTCAATCAGTTCGGATGAGGCGGTAGAGATCCAGTGGCTTTTATTAACTTTAGGTTTTAGCTTACTGACAGTTTTCACGGCTGTGTCCTCGGCTAACTGTATGTTGTGCCAGGCTACCTTAGGGGAAGTCCTGCTGTCGACCTCAGAAACTAGTTTCGCTATTTCTTATTTAAATAAGGACTCAGTGTCACGATCTAGTTGGGGACGTAACTGTTTCGTTGCCGTCAATTTCTTATGTCCATTTAGTCGTAAGCATAAACTTGCGCGAACCAGAATGTGGTCGGAGTCTACGCACGTGTTCCAGAAGGAGCGACAGTCTTCTACTGACCCTCGCCAACGATAACCTATGGCTATGTGGTCTATCTGAGTCCAGCGTTGATTTCGTGATGGAGGTTTCCAAGTTACACAATGTCTTTCTTTGTGCCTAAAGTTAGTGCTGACTAGGAACAGATGATAACCACGAATTACCACGACTAGTGAAAATCACACAGACATGTGAAGGCTGACGATCAGTTGTTTAAATAATATGTCTGAATAGTGCTACGTATTCAATTTGAGTATCTCATGGTTAAGAATTTAGCACCTCTCATTATACCGATTGCTGTCTATCTTGAATCTGTTTTGTATTCATTCGTTTTGTCAGAAATTTCAAATAAGATCAGATATGTGCAGTCGGTATATTGTGAGTACGCTTTCGTAATTCATACCACATTCTGTTTGATGTTGTCCGCTTTGCATTTCAATCAGCAATTCTTCGAGGCTGCTTTCTGAAAGAGATTCAGTTGAGTCACTCTGCTGCTGTTGAAAGATGAGCGTACGTGTGGCAGACTGTTTTCAGCTGATTAACATGCTCATCCTGTATTTAATTATCTGACACTGGAAAGAAACAGTATAAGAGAGTATGAGCTTATCTAGGATTTTATCCAATCTCTGTGCAATGATACGTAACGGTGAAGTATGTTGACAAAACAAACGCAGTTGACTTATTCGCTGAAAAGCCTGAACTACAGCCCACCAATATTTGCCAGATGGGGAGACAAACATGAAATTATGCATTGAATTTGCACCATTCGATCAAAGTGACAGGTAATTTTCAAACTACTGATCGATTAATATTCTGTTCTCTTTGCATTTTATTCAGATGATTTTTTCTACATATCTGAGAGTAGAACTCTCTGGAGGGAATCGTTACGCTATGGATCTGAATGTAAGCATTGATATTATTGGGTGGGCAGGTCAACTTCACGTCTGCTCACAGTTTCTCATTATTCTGACTCGGTCAAACATTACTGTGATCGAATCCACCATATTTAATTGGTAACTTAGTTATCGTTGATCGTGTGAGCGTGTCACTGAAAGACAGATGTATTTATCTGTTAGATATTTGAATGAATTCGTCAGTCACTGGACACTAGTTGACATCCAGTGGTGATTTCGTATACGTTTGTTGTCATTTTGTGAACCAGTGTCAGTTTATTGGGACTCGGTCTGTTGATGAGACTGTCGAAAAGAAAACAGGTGATTACTCTCCGATGCTGCTCACTACATTCGTTTTGTGAATGAGTAAGTCATTCTGAATAGTTAATGCCCAGTCACTCACAGTGTTCACAGCGGAATTTCGAGCAACTGAGATCTAGTCTGCAACAGTGTGCATATCGCATCATCCGAAGATAGGCAGTTCATTGACTCACAGTCAATTCCTTTGAAGATTCAAAACTTCAAGTATCTCTCTCTGAAGATCTGGCACTCATTGCTTACTCATCAAGAGTCAATTCCACTCAATCAACAGGTTGACGAAATTCACAACCTACCTGTGCACATATTTCCGATGTTGTATTAAACGAGAAATATGTTTGTATGTGTTGACGTCTGTGTATTTCAGCCGGTCCAAGCCGTAAGTCAAATCACAGAGTACTAGTGATCAGTAATACTAAACACACCATGTTCATTGTAGCCGACGAAATACTGTCAATACTATCCTCTCTCCTTGAATAGGTATCGGACAACAGCCGGATATGAGTGAATGTGATAGTCTTCTGTCGGTTAATCGCACTCAAGGTAATTCGAAACATGTCATTGATAAATTGGAGATTGTTTCATCAGTTTTATCCCTCGAATTTCACACACAGATGTTTGTCAATTTATTCCACTCAATAACAATTGATAATGACTGTCAAATTGCGTTTGTCGTAAACGATGAAGCTATTCTCTACAAAGAGGAAGTCTACTTACTTGCAAACACACTGATGATTCTTCTTCCAGAGCTCTTTAAACTGACTATATTTCTAGGATTGCATTACTAGGAATATTATTGTTCCATTGGGCTTCAAGTGGAACACAGGGCTTCAGCAGCACATCTCCACTTCATCCTGTTATCTGTGGTGCTATTCAGCTAGCCTCAAGACTGCGTATACGCTCTCATCTGCACCTTACAAAACCTCGTCAAAGTCAATACCCTCGTACACATAGCCTATTCATCGATTGCCACTCAGGTTCTGCTCGTGCGATGGCCTGATGCGAGATGTAAATCGATGGCCTCTCAATAGTGTGTCTGATGCATCCTCAGTTTCTTCAGCATATTTGCTGATCTGTACGGTTCTGTTAGGTTGATTGCAAGAATTTGGTGTTGCTAAATATTTCTACCATTTGACTGATCATCAGTATGTAGGTGGCGATAGCAGATATTTATATATATATATATACATATATTCATATAATCAGGTTTCTGAGAAGGTTTATTTGAAAACTGAACATTGCTCCACTCAATATTGTCGTCTTCGGAATGAACAATGCCTCTTTTCGTCCTCATCTGTCCACAAATCATCATGCCTATCCATGATATGTGTTCGCACTTTGTCTTCCTTTCCAGGAATAAATGAATTGACTCAACGGGTGATACACGTCAGTTATTTGAAACACCTGTGGGTGATAGCTTATGGTAAGTTGAAAAATTTCGAGTTGAATATTTCGCGAGGCGCCTTCAACAGTCCAGTCTTTCGTAAACGTTGAGTCACAGGTGAGATAGCATCTCACACTCAGATTTTTTGCGTACTTTGTGGATACTTGTCTCGATGATTAGAAACGATAGACTTGCAACATTTTATCTGTTTCCTCACATGCGCCTGTTCAAGTTTACATATTAAGTAGACATATTTTGACGATAAACTGCATCTTCCCTTTATAGAAACCAGATCAATTTATGAAAATGTTAAGACAAACATGAGGGTGAGTTTATGTACCAGAATCAGTCCACACAATCCGTATGACGAAAATCAGTCTACTTACCGTGTTTATCCTCCATCGCCATATCTCATGTCGTATTCAATAATGTCGTGTTGATGTTTGGAGACAAGTAGATGAGATGTTCACTTCTCATGCATAACTAAACATTGTGTAGTGAAAATTTCGGGAATGGGTATTATAGTTAGATAGGAAGCCTCGGTTTCTTTCTGACCGATTGTTGTGGCAGTTGATGCATTTAACTTAGTCGCTCGATACACGTCTTGCTCACGTTTGAATGAATCAAGATCCAGCATGATCCAGCATATCAACTGGAGCACAATCGATTTGAGTAATTCAGACAATTGAGACTGAAAATGTCGAAAATTAGTGGTTGATTCACTTTATGAAACGTCTTTCATTCCTTCAGTATCGTCCTCGATTCCATTGAAACTACTCATTCATTCATCACTTTCTCATTCTTTCTTCTGTTGTTGAAGATTGCATACCACGACATGACGGGACATTTACTAGACTAATTCGTGTCAGATGAACATATGTATTCAACTGTGATAATTATAAAAATAATACTGAAAGTAATAATAATGATATTTTGACATCCCTTTGACTTCTCCCTACAATCTTCAATAATGGTCGTGTGTGTAAAATGTCATAGTCATTTTAGAAATGAGGCCATTGAAAAATTCACCTGTGACTGTACTTTTACTCGCACCATAACTCCGTCCTATCTTACAACCATTTCTCATTATTCGTTTCAACAGAGCAACAACGAACACATTTGCAGGCGAATATGACTTCGCTTAGCTTCGTGGATTCCCTTCAACTGCGAACATACTCAACTAAATCAGATCACAGTTTACAAAATGCTTGAACACACTTTTCATGGTGACTTGGATTTATAGACAGAAAGTTTAGACAAAATAATTCTGAGAATGATGTGAGCAGACAAATTGTTCAGTGTTAAAAGACTGACTATTTACAATAAAATTAGACAAGTGAGGGCGGTATAGTGCAAATTTTGCTTGGAAATAAGGATTGACTGAAGACAAAATACAAGATCGAATAACAGAGTGAATTGATGCATATCATGAATGAGTAGTAGAGTCAAATTATGACAGACAAACAATTTAGTGTATTCCTCATGACGTCTCTGAACTAGTGCATAATAACCGAGGTGATCACACCATTGATAGCATGATGACATATCGATAATAAGCAATAATAACAGTGTAGTCAGTCAGTTATTTTGAGCGCATATGTTTGTAGGGGGAGAGGGATGGATATGGGAACTATTGTCTCATCAGGATGTTTGGCTTGATAATAATAAATTGTGAAATAAAGGTAAAGTTTCACCACTATAAATCAATACAGAGAAAGGAGTACAAATGTAGTCAATGTTCACAGAGGTAGACAAGAGGAATAACAAGACTGGTTGACTGTTTTTGAATAAATTCTTTGTCAGACTTTACAATTATATATCCAGCAATGTTTGCACACAATACTCCATGAGGCTTGTGCTTCAGTAAAGTCCATATAAGTAATCATTCATATTAATCGATAGTGTTCCAGCGCGATTAAGCCTGCCTAATTTAAGCTCACATCCTAGGGAATACGGATCTAACATGCCGTACGCTGACCACAAGCACATTGAGTGGAACTCAGAAATACTAGAGCAGACGTTTTACTTCAATGCAACATCGATGAAGTTTACCTACATAAATAGACTGGGCGTAGTCCAAAATGAAAGTCTTCGTATGGGAAGTACCTTCAATTATCCCACGGAGACTGTTCAGTATCCACGTTGCGTCATGTCTAAACTCTTTTGCATTTCAAGCAGATATAACTGTACGCCCACATTCAAGGTTATACGGCATCACAAACTGGAACAAAGAGTACCTGAATGCTTATTAGTGAATGAATTAACCTACTTTCCCTTGTTGTTGTACGTGAAATCAATTTCCGCAAATGATTATACAAATCTTTTCAGTTGCGAAACATTCGATGGTGGATTTCGAATGTCTTCTTTCTATTTGAGCTCCATCAACTTCCCACTTGATACAAATAACACAGAGATCTCGTTAAGACTCGACATTCCAAAACGTATTGCGGATTAAATTCGTCGTACACCATTTTGCGAGACATTGACAAGTAAATAATAATAGCTTATTTACATAAACTTAGCGTTTACACGATTAAAAGGTACTGTTAGTTCGAGCTTGTGATGCCGTCTAATAATTCAAGCTTTCATCTATTCTTGAAAGCAGATTTATTTTCACTGATATAGAATAGAGATGATGTAGTCAGCGAGATGTGAGGTATATTTAGTGGAAAATAGCGACAAGTAACTGTCTGTACAGATTTGTTTGCCATAATTATTTCGTCACTGATGAATTGCTGTCAACATGTTGACTGACGTTAATGAACTGGCACATTGCAGAACTAGGGACAGTGATTTTCAGTCTGCTTGAAACATTCTGCAGTGCGCCCGAGGTCAATTCTAGCTGGAAGCCAAAATCGAAGCGACTGAATGAACAGATTATTGAACTTTAGCAGCAGGTCAGATGATTCCATAGTGTATAGATGTAATCCTGTATACTGTACACGAGTAACGCGGCAAACCAGTCGGACAAGAAAGGAGGACAGAGCACTAATAAAAGCGCCTAAATTTGGGAGCTCAATGGACAGTAAAGGTGCAATCAGGGAGACATTGAAGTAAAATCCCTTTTTTGAGATGTGACGCATGTCTTATTTTTCGTATGGTTGAGACGACAATGGCCATCATTATGTCTTATTCAGTCTTTGTAATAAAAGAAATTCCTGTAAACATAATGACTGATGTTGCTGGAATTCTACGAATAAGTAAATCAAGCGCATTTTCGAATTCGTTGCAATTAGCATGTATAATGAAAGTTGAACACTTTATATTCGCCTATCTTTTCTCTCTTGTTCTGTGATCATCGCTGCACTCTACTCTATCCTTCACTATCACATAAATTGTTTCTCTTGCCACGTCTAGCACTATGCGAATGATGAATTCATGTCGTGTTGTCATTCCGAATGTTGAAAGATGTCTAACACATCCGAAATATGGTGATTATGGAAACTGAAGTAACACGTCTTTCAATCTGCTCAGATTATTTCCTTTGACTAGGTGTCTTGTAAAATGTCTGTAGCATTGCTATTGATATTCTAGGAAGCGTAGTGTAGTGTTAATTTTAATTAACGTTCGCTCAAGGATAATAGCATGCAGTAACTGTTTATGCTTAAGCATTTTAGCCTGGACATAACAAAGTTCGGTGGGTGCGTACTGCGACCAGTCCCAAACTGTGACGAAATAGCTGTTCATTACTACTTGCTTGGTTTTCCAATGGTTCTCTAACTGATGTCAGCTCATGATGAAATCCTTCAACCGATCAAACGATATCCCTACAAAACCAATACTTGAAAATGGCAAAGGCTGTTGAGATGAGGCGTATACTAGTGAGTGGTCGGAAAATATCAGACATAAGTGTGAATTCCATATCCATCCTAGCTGCAGATAATTCCTTAAGGAGCTCAGAATACCTAAGTGATATGGAAGCGAGTGATTATTAGAACTGGTGCAACATACGTGACAGGTGCATAAGTGGTAGGATGTACATGCAAGCTACATTTCGACAAGAAATTAATACCAACTGTAAGCGGTGTTACATTTCAGAAGAACAATGCACACAGAAATCAAGATAAGCTGATGCCACTTGGTGCAGTAAGTAGTTAAGGGCTAGCAACATTCCATGTGACAATGTGAATTCCACTCATATCACATCTTCGGCTGTACAATTTCAACCATGTTGTTCATCAGAATGGACGTGATCATGACAAGGTTCGGCCGTGTGCCTCATTCATAATATTATTTCTTCGATGTGTTATGGAGGATTTCACTCATCACGGATGAAAATGAAACAGCTTACACTCCTCAAAACAGATATCTAACTTGTGTCTGTGGGTTTATTCTCCATCAAAGGCCTGTATCTCATAGAATAATTGCTAACACTCCAAAATCAAAAGCTCTCACAAATATTAAACCTTCAAGGCTCTCAGACAAAAACTGAACTAGTTTACATGCATAATTTCTCTTAGTGCACGTCTTTCATCGTGATAATCCATCTTGAATATCAAAAGAATTTGACGCATTATTACGAACATAATATGAGTACATACCGCTTTTCCGACTACAGAAACCTAGGACTGGTGAAATATTTCCTATTTTCACAAGAACAGACTATTGTGGCGCCTCTATAGGCGTGAACACGACAACCCATACTATGCGCGGAAATACATCACGATAGCCTTTATCTCCATCAAAACAATTCCACATGGCTATGTCCGATATTCGTTTACATCGAATACATTTCACTTCTGATGGTACCCTACGATGACATTGTCGAGAAAGTGATACGAATATTCTGCTCATTTTAGGTTAGTGAACCATCTGACTATCAATCGAGAATAAGATGCAATGCCGTACACAGCAAAGTTATATAGGAGAATGGAACTGAAGCTTTATTTTCTACAAGGTATTTGTGATCCATCCAATACAGACCTGGTTTCTGTTAATGCGAAGACACTATTTCCATATTTATTAATGTGATAATCCACTGAGGAGTTGGCAGACTGTCCCAACTGACTGCAGTCCATTTTATGCATGTTTCCTGATTCCCCACTGTCTGTAGCATTATCCAATCTACTGCAATGAGGAAAATCATTGGCGATAGTAGGCAGCCTTGTCTCACTCCTGTCTTCACTTCGAAGGATTCCGTGAGCTTCCTGCTGTGGATTACTTGGCATGCAGCATTGTCGTACAGCTGTTGGATGAGATGTATAATTGTCGGTGACACCCCTTGGTAGTAGCGAAGTAGTTTCCAAGTCACCTCTCGATCGACCCTGTCATAGGCCTTTTCAAAGTCGATGAAGTTGAGATAGAGAGGTGACTGCCATTCCAGGCTTTGTTCAATGATGATCCGTAGTGTGGCGATTTGACCAATACATGACTTGTTTCTTCAGAATCCAGCTTGTTCCAGTCAAAAATTTTCATTCAGATTGTGTGTGATTCTCTCCAGGATGATGCGACTTAATATTTTGCTTGGGATAGCCATAGCATAATTCCGCGCCAGTTCTTGCATTGACTTAAGTCTCCTTCCTTCGGCAGTTTGTTGGTGGATTTCAAATGTCTTCCTTCTATTGGAGCGCCATCAAATTGCCACTGGATTCAAATAATGCCGAGATTTCTTTACGACTCAACATTCCTTGAATTATTACGGATTAAATTCGCCGTACATTATTTTGCAGGACATTGACAGGTAAATAATAATAATTAATTTAAATAAAATAAGCGTTTAAACGATTAAAATGTATGATCGAATACGACATTAGTGATCAGTAAATTCAGTTATCATAGTCTACACTTATTTTGAAATGTAACACACACTGCTGGTGCGTAAGCATGTTATGAAAATTACGTGCAAACTTCCTCCCAGAGGTGGAAACATCATCTAAGTATTATTTCACTAAAACCTCCAATAACATTGGTGCTGCTTTCACTCGCTCTATTCGCCTCCGACTAACTTTTACAAAA